AGAATGCCTAATATAATACAATCTAAAAAAATTGAGTTTATAATTTTAAGTTTCTACCCATTAATTATTTTTTATATATAAATTTTTATATTTTTAAGTATGTAACAATTAATATAAAAAATCTAATCCTAAAAGAAAAACATATTAGTCTATTATTTTTTTTACCATTTATTCATTTTTTATTATGCTTTTTTTAGTTAGGTTCAAATGCATTTTTTTAAAATATTTTTTTATATAGTAATTTTTTTATGATACATAATGAGTAATCAATAATATCTTATTAATTATTATTTTAGATTTATTTTGAAAAGAAATATACAAAAGAGAGAAAATAAAATGTAGAACCATAAAAAACAATAAAAATATCTATATCTAAACTTTCTCTCTTATAGATTTTTTTTAAGAATGGTTTTTTTATAAAAAAATTGATATAATACAACTAGTTAATTCTTAAATATTATAATATTATTCGATGATTTTATAACTATGTATGATTTTAATTTTAATTTTATAACTATTTAAGATTTTAACTTTAGATATTGGGGTGGAGAGCAGATTGGTTTAACAAAACCAAACTGAAAATTATTATTATTTATTTTATCATCTATTATAAGTTATTTATTACTTTTTATTTTTATTAAACTTGAAGTAGGTTTTTTTGAAAAAGAAAAATTAATTAACATGGGTTGACTTATATGAATTTTATATATATATAATCATGATCTTTTTCTTTGTTGTTTTTTAAAGGAAAAACAAAACTCATTTTATAATTTAATGGGGAGATGCTATTTAGAAAAGAAAAATTGATAATATAGTTTATTAAATAGTATAAATATTTTTTTTATTTATCTTCACTCAAATGATAAAAACCTTTTTAAAAAAGTTAATTGTATTTTAGTATATTTGATAAAAAAAACTTGATATGATTCGATTGACTTGCCAGATTTAAAAACAATCTAAATGATTTTCAATCAACCTAATACTAAGTCATAAAATTAAAAAAATAATTAAAAAATAACTTGATTTAACCCCCAGTAAACTCGTCAGAATCATGACATGACTAATAAAATCAAAATAATTTTATAAAAAGTAAAAAAATATATAGGTTTTAAAAAAAATGAAAAAAACTAGTGAAAAAAATTGATATTCTTACTAGAACTATAGGAATTGTATTTTTATAAAATAAATAATAATAAAATAACATTTTGTTTAGTACAATGTTTGAAATGTATAAAATAAACATTAAAAAATTAAAATAATATATTTTTTAATTTTTCATTTAGCATCTTCAAAACAAAAATACTAAAATAAGTCCAAAAACTGACGTGTCACATTAAAAACATGTACTAACGAACTGGACAACAACAAGAATAACATAGGCTCCACTTTCTCCAAATACATTCCCAAAATTCAACACGTACTCGTCTTGTCTTCGACAGAACAATCAAAATGGAAGCAGGAACATCGTCAGCTACCACAGGAGGCGGTGGTGGAGGAGGAGGACCGGCGCCGTTCTTGGTAAAGACATATGACATGGTGGATGATTCATCGACCGACGAGATCGTGTCTTGGAGTTCGAATAAAAACAGCTTTGTTGTTTGGAACCCTCCAGAATTCGCCAGATTGTTGCTCCCTACCTTTTTCAAGCACAATAATTTCTCTAGCTTTATCAGACAATTAAACACCTATGTGAGTGCTCTAAAGTTTGTTTCCTTTTTGGTTTTGTTATTACAAGTTTGAATCTTTGTGGCAAATGAGTCGTCGAAGGGTTTTTTCTAAATTGAAATTCTTGATATCATGGTAGAATGAATTTTGGTAGTGAAGAAATTTTTTTCTTTAGAGCCTTTTTAAGTGTAGAAATGGTTGATCATTTTGTTGGGGAGTTGATCATTTTTAAGTGCAGGGTTTGGGTTTAGAGGCTGGCCGCGGATTGAGGAAATGGTTTGATGGGATGGTGAGATTTAGAAATGGAAGAATCAATAATCCTTATTGGAAGATAGATTAGTGAATACTTGTAATCTGAGTATAGATTAGTGACTACTTGTAGTCTGAGTATCTATTTTAGATGCAGGAGCCCTTGGCATAATCAAAGCGTCTCTGATCTGGTTTAATATTGAATGAATGAATGAATGTGTAACGACGGAATCAGCTCGTTTATCAGATGCTAAAATACTAGTTTGCTGTATTGGCTCAGTCATTCCCAATATGGCTGGGTTTTGGGACAGAACATGTATTTGGAAAGAATGGTTGTGAATTATTTGATAAAAATAAGTAAATGACTGGCAGGAAATATTGGTGGGTAATGGATTAACTTAACGATGTTTGATTTTAGTGAAATTTGCAAATTTCTACATGTTATGCATTTTATAATTGTCAGTAATGAAGGAAGAGCCTTTATATTCAAAGATGGAATGCAACTTTGTTGTTGTAGGCAATGATGGTTGGGTCTCAAATGGATTGTCATAGAAAAGAATTCGTATTGTTTTCTATGAAGGAAGAGCCTTAATAATCGAAGATGGAATGCAAATTTGTCCTTGTAAGCAATGATAGTTGGGTCTGAAATGGATTGTCATAGTGAAGAATTCGTATTGTTTTCATGCTCTCTATTTTACCTTTGGATTTAAAAGTTTCTCATCACTTGTTGCTTCACAAAACACTTCTCGGACTGTGTGCAAACTGCCTTATACATTGTTAACAGCTCTTCAGTTGGAATAACATCAATCGTGTATGCTTTTTGGTAAGAGAAATTTCCCATTTTCTAAGGTATTATCTAAATTAGAGGGGAGACTGTATTGGGTTTAATTAGCTTATTGTCTATATGTAGAGGATTTTGTTTTTTAAAGCCAACTTAACTTAGCATGGCATAATTTCTGTTGCCAGGGATTTAGAAAGATTGATCCTGAGAGATGGGAATTTGCCAATGAAGATTTTGTGAAAGATCAAAAGCACCTGCTTAAGAATATCCACCGAAGAAAACCAATCCACAGTCATAGTCAACCTCAAGGTTCTTTAGTGGATCCAGAAAGAGCTGCATATGAGGAAGAAATAGAAAAGCTTGCACGTGATAAAGCTAAACTCAAGGCAAGTATTCTAAGGTTTGAACAGCAGCGGTCATCTGCAAAGCTACAGGTGGAAGATCTAACACAGAAGATAGATACTATGCAGCAGAGGCAGGAAAAGCTGCTGTCGTTCTTAGAGAAGGCTGTTCAAAACCCTACTTTTGTTGAACACCTTGCTCGCAAGATTGAAGCTATGGATTTTTCAGCCTATAGCAAGAAGAGACGATTGCCCCAAGTTGATCACCCAATGCCAATTGCAGAAAATAGTCTTGTGGAAAACCACAGTAGTTCTAGACCTGAGTCGAATGTCATCCATCAAGATTTCCCAGATAAGTTGAGACTGGAATTGTCACCAGCTGTTTCAGATATTAATTTGGTTTCACACAGCACACAGAGCTCCAATGAAGATGGGGGAAGCCCACAAAGAAAAATATCTGAAGGGAATCCAAAAGATGCACTGACTAGGACATCAGGTTTGCTATTGGCACCTGAAACGTTAGAACTTTCAGACACAGGGGCATCGTATGCATTTAAAGTGAATCCAGCTGTCCCAAAAGACATACCAGCAAATGGGAGCCCAGCACTACATTCACTGCAGTCGAATTTGACTTCTAATGAAGAAGTTGACGGTCATATTTCCTGTCAGCTAAATCTTAGTCTGGCATCTTCTCCTTTGCAAGTCAACAAAAATCCTTATTTAACTAGGATACCTCAACTAGGCCAGGAAATTGGCAAATCTCCAGAATCAAGGTTTAATGAGAGTAACAAAGATTCTGATATCCGAGCTAGTCAGAACAACATAAATCTGGGTAACGAGGGCAGAGTTTTATCCTCCTCCCAGGAGACCCCAAGTAACAATCAAGCACCTCCATCAGCTCCAGTTAGAGTGAATGATGTTTTCTGGGAACAGTTCCTAACTGAAAGGCCCGGCTATTCTGATAATGAAGAGGCAAGTTCTAATTACAGAGCAAACCCATATGATGAGCGAGAAAGAAGGATAGGTTTCGGAGCGCCAAGAAATGCTAAAAACATGGAGCAGCTCTCTCTGTGAGCATCGCAATTGTCTTAGAGCCTAGCAAAAGGTTCGCAGAGGTTTCTCTCAGTACCTTTGGTGCTCTCATAAAATTACCATTGGCAACATGAGAATATAACTTGACATGAAACCATCTATTTGGTTTGAATAATATAATGTTGACGCTTGACATGCCACTAGTAATTTTAGATGCTATTACTGTTCATACCGCTCCACCCTTCTAATAGATTGCATTCATTTGGCGTGCTGATGTGGGAAAATTGAATTTTATGGGTGTAGCATGGTGCAGATTTAAATGGTGGGATAGTAGGCAATGGCTGATCCTTACTGTTGGTTTGAAATTGTCTTCTACTTCCATTAACCAGTAGCACATTCCACATGTTCTTTCCCCTTTTCGTGCTTGATGCCCTAAAGCTATAATGACAATAACACGCTTGTTCTATATGACTTTGGCGCCTGTGTTAGTTTTAAAAGCGATTTGGTATTGTACACTGTTGGTGGTCAAAACCTTACACTTTCAGTCACATGTTTTAAATTCTGCTGCTGATTACATACTTCATGAAACAAAACTTTCTGAAATACAAGTATTGGTGGTCAAATTCAATGAAAACTAACCATAATACCTGAAAAATAAACTTAGTCCATCCCTCCCTCCCTCCCTCCCTATATTGACTTCCAAAAACAGTGATACTCTGGTATTTACGATACTCTGGTATTTACAATCTCACATTTGCTTACGAATACTCTTTTATAGATTGACAAAACCCTATTTCCCTTCAACTCTAAGCAAACAAGTTGCTGTTATATCCCTCTCAATTGATTTTCTTTTTCCCTTTTTCGTGAAAGGTGAGGCACCAAACACCTAATTTTTTTTTACTAATATGACATTGCAGGTTACACCTAACTACGTTTTCTTCTCGGTCCTCTCCATTATTAAAGGCCTCTCTTTGTGAATCTAACACTTGTGCAGCGAAGCACTCCCACATTTACATTTTGCAAACAAAACAGGTCACCACTACTGGTAAACAACATTGAAAAAATGGAACGATTACAACACCTCTTGATCTCATTGTATCTGCTTATTCTCTCCATCAATTTAACCACAACCACAGCTCAATCACCTGCGCCCGCTCCTGCACCACCCGGCCCCACTAATGTCATCAAAATACTCAAAAAGGCTGGCCACTTCAAGACCTTCATCCGCCTCTTGAAATCCACTCAATTGGACAGCAATCTAAACTCCCAACTTGGCAACACAAACAATGGTTTGACCATCTTTGCTCCAAGCGATAGTGCATTTTCAGCCCTTAAAACAGGCACTCTCCGCACCTTAACTGATCAAGAGAAGGTCGAGTTGATGCAGTTTCACATTGTCCCTATGTTCATCTCATCTTCCCAATTTGATACCGTGAGTAGCCCTTTAAAAACACACGCTGGATCTGGTGCTAGGTTTCAGCTTAACGTTACCGCCAGTGGGAACTCCTTGAACATATCTACAGGACTTACCAACACCACCATTTCTGACACTGTATACACGGACACCAATCTTGCTATATATCAGGTTGACAAGGTGCTACTTCCTTTGGATATATTTACCCCTAAACCTCCACCACCGGCACCGGCACCGGCACCAAAGCTTAAAGCAGAGTCAGAGAGCCCTGATGATGGTGTTTCTAAGAAGGATATTTCTAGCGCTGTAAGTTTTATCATGTATCATGATACGGTGTTCTTTATAGTTGGTACTGTTGTTGCAATATCGTTTTCTTTGTGACCAGAAAAAGCCTAGGAACCATGTGATAAGGACAGCTTGTCCTGGATTTGGTCCTCGTAGTTGACATAAAAACTTGTTGCCTGAAAAAGAGTGAAAAAAAGAGCGGGAGTTCTCTATATGTTATTACAGGAAACCTTCGAAAGCTAGATGCCTCAAGTTGCTGCTTGTCATAAAGAAAGTTGGTATCACTTCTATAAGTTCATTGATTTATTCAAAATCTCTTTGTCTAGTACTTTCGTTGGTGGTGTGAACGTGGGTGCTGCCATTGCCATCTTCTAAACTTTTCTACAAATGTGATGATGTTACCCGCTGAAAGATAAGTTCCATATACACTGTTAGGTACGTGTTCAATCCCCCAGCTGGGAATCCTTAATGGTATGCAATGATAGCCTCCCCAATGCAATTGCCCACCTAGAGAAACTAAATTTAGTGGGTTGTTGATCCTTCTGTTAAAGGTAGTGTCATGGCTTCACATGCACGCGCAAAAAAAAACAAGAAAACCCTAATATGGACGGCAAGTATTGAGGATATCGTTGAAGAAAAAGGCCCAAATTACATAATCCAATCATGCCACCTTAACAATTGCATTACAACTGTTTTGGATGTTCAGTTTTTTACTCCAACCTCTATAGAGAACCATCTATACCTCCTCTGTGCAGAACTCTTGTCATGGAGCAATCATATGAAGAAAAATAGACCAGAAAGGGGCCAATGAATTGAGTTGCCTCAATCCTATAAAGTGGGGCAGTTAACACATAAATTCATATATATGGAAGCCCTAGAAACCATAGAAATTCTATATTGAATGTGACTTGTCACAATGATAGAACGTTGATCCATGTGAAGAAGCTAGTCCTATTCGTAAAATCCTGCATTGCCATAATCAATCGTATATATAACATACAAAGCTTGAGTATAAGCTCTTCAAATGTGCCTTTAGTTGGCTATAGGATGCGGGCGAACTTCTTAAACCTTGCAGAGTGTACTTAAGAAAATCAGAATTTTAAACTTTAACATGGTCGGGTTTTTAGTCGAAGTTAGTTATCTCGACACTTGTAATAAAGAAGGAAAAGAAAAAAATAATAATTAATGCAATAACTTAATAACTCATGCTTTTTTTCAATTCAGTTGTTATTTTTTATATTAGATCATTAAAACTATAAAAAAATATTAATTTAACATTAAAAAAAAAAAAACCTGTAGAATCTGCACATCCAGATACATTTTCCTAGAACTGAGATGCGCTGAGGCCCAAGCAAACATTTGACTCTACGGCAGTGCAAGGGCAGTTCCAGGCAGTCAAAACTTGTTCCCAGAAGAATTATAGCTGCTGAGAGGGTTCACTATATTGACTACAAACTTTTGCAATAAAGTTTACTGAAGGGGTGACGGTGGCTTGGTCCCTCTCATTATACCCTTTACCCCCACTAACTAAATAATAGCCAAGTAGCTGGCATCACAGAGGAATAATGTTTTTGATTTATGATAATGATTATTTTTTAATATATTTTTTATTTAAAAATATATTATAGTAATATATTTTTATTTTTTATTTTTTTAATATTAATATTAATATAACAAAAGCATTTGAAAATATAAAAAAACAAAAATAAAAATAATTTTTTTTTTTAAATACTTGTATGTCTGTGACCCTGAGTCATAGGCACATGTCTTGAATCAATCAAATCATCTACTCAGTAGAATTTACTGGGTTCATTTGCCTCATCAGAGCTTTGAACGAAACTACTTGAAACTTCACGAGTTATTTTTTTACTAACTCAGGCAAAAGAATATTTTAAAAAATTAAAGTTTAACAAATCACCAATAACAACAACACTTATAATTGGAAGTGGCATGTGCAATTTTATTAAATTGTTAAATGACCTAAGAGAAATTACAATGAAAAGAAAGTAAAAGGAAAGGAAGAGCAAAATCTAAAGACACATAAAGATTTTAATAATGATATTATGTTATTGTTTAAAACATTTTAATAAGATAAATTTAATAATATTAAAAAAATTATTAATAATAATCAAATATAAGAGCAGCTTAAGAATAAAGAAGCCCATCATCTTTGTGTAATTCATGTAATAAATTTTAGTTATAATTAATAATTATTTTATGCAATTAAATTTATTTTATTAAGATATTTTAATGTTAATGGTGGTGTATAATTGCTAGAACTTCAATGTGAAGCCTAGAGTTTTTTTCCCTTCTTACAGTGTATTGCTATATTTTTCTACTTGCTAGCCCTATTTGTTTTAAAATAAAATGTATATTTGTTTATGTATTTTAAAAGTGTTTTTAAAAAAATTTAAAGATTTTTTATTTTTAGTGTTTTCTAATCATTTTAATGTGCTAATATCAAAAATAATTTTTTTAAATAAAAAAATCATTGCAATGTATCTTGATATAAAAAATTATTTAAAAATGACCACAACAACACTACTAAACAAGTTTAAAGAGTTAGTCCAAGAATGTTGTTGTTAGTTTGATGCTCATCAAGGGCTCTCGTTTGATATTAATTCTTTAATTTGATTTTAATGGTAAGACATTCATAAGTTATCTCCGTTTAATAAAATGAAATGTTGTGGCTCAATCAACTCAAAGTTACGTTTGTAGATCAGTCCAATTTTTTAATCAAAACAACATCTATTCAAATTTAAATAAAAAAGAGAGCAACATTTCAGTTTTTTTCTAAAAGACAAACAACATTGTTTTTTTCTTTTTAAATTCAAATTGAAATAAAACTTGATCTAGATTAATCTCTAAATCAGTGAGTATCCGAATTAACTTACAAGATTGAATTTTATAATTATAATATTTTATGTATTAATATTATTCGGTATCGACTAAGTTTTTTGCCCGCACTACATGGCAATTTTTTTTTTTGTCTAAAAAATGTTAAGACATTAAAAAGTAAAAAACAAATAATGCATAATGGTCGAAATACTTTTAGAATATTTAAATTATAACATATTGAATGACATATTTTTTACATAAAATATTAAGATGGCAACACATTAAATCAATCCAAGACAACAATAGTTAACCTATAAAAATCATGATTAAGTGTGAGATCATGATAAAACAATGAAACTCACATCAAAACAAATTGAAAGGTCCAATTATAATAAATCAAATATTGAAGGCTGAAAGCAAAAGGAATTTAAAAAAATAACAAAAAAGTGACTCAGGTAAACTTATATCGATGATCGATATAACACTGCGACCAAGCCCAAATTTTTTTGGACTTAAGAAGAACAAAGTTAAAATGATGCTAGGATTTCTAAAAAAATAAAAGAAATTCAATTGACTGAGTTGAATAAAATAAGTTAACTTAATAGCATAAAAAACCCTAATTTAATATTTCAAAATTGGGACCATCGAATCTCAAATCCAAGTACAATCAAGAAGCTAAATTATCAACCCAAATAATAATAAATAAATAAAAACAATAACAACCCTTATTAAGCTCGTGACCCAAGTTATTTGACCAGAAGCACCAAATTTAGAAATCCTTAATGCTCAATTTTTAACTAATTAAATGTTGAACTATGAAATTGAAAAAGAAAAAATCATTCATACAAAAGGATAAATTTTTAGTAATTATAAACTAAAAAAGACTTGAGTCAACTCAGGTCAATACCCAAAACTCGCAAGTTAGTTTATGAGACCAGGTAACCCGAGAAAAAGGAAAACAAAGAAAACCATGAAGCTTACTTTGTTAAAAAAAAAAAAGAAGAAGAAAAAGAGAAATCAATGTTAAGCAATGAGATCAAAAAATAAAATAAGTAAAAAAAAATCGATATCAACCCATGTTAGTTTATAAAACTTGTGACTCGAGCTATTTGATCAGGAAATACCAAACCTTAAAAACCTACAAAGCTCAATATTCAATAAATCAAATGTTAAATGTTAAAATTATACACACACACAAAATGCCAAAAACAAATAGCAATTAAATGAATGAGGATGAATTTTAATGGGGAAAAAAAAACAAATGAGAGGATGGATAATTTCAGATTGAAGGGTTGAATTGAGAAGAAAAACTAAATTTACAAAATAATTAAAAGAAGAAATCACTAAAAGAATAAGAACTAAATTAAAAAAATAAAAATTAGTTTCTTTTTATCAAAATACAAGATTGAAAGTAATTGAATGTTCACTAAAGGGACAAGAAAAAAAACTAGGAAATAAAAAGGAATTATGACTAAAATTGAAGAAACAAAAAATAATAAATATAGATTGAATAATGAATGTTTTTTTTTTAAATGAAAACCTACAGAAGGGCCAAGGAAAAAATTACAAATAAAAAAATAAGGATCAACACTTAAATACATGTAACTAAAAAGACTACCCTGAAATTTTAAATGAGCAATGCAAATTTCAAGGAATGAGAGAGAAAGGAAAAAAAAAACATTATTAGTATTATCTTGCTGAAAAATAGCTTACACGCGTCATCGCATGAGTAAAAGGAAGCAGTAGGAAATGCAATGACATGGCAAAAAATGATTTTTAACCATCAGAATTAGTTGTATGTATCACCAGAAGATATCGGAGCAGCTAACACATGCATCAATAACTTTTTTATTTTTTTTATTTTAGTTATCAAATTAACACATTATCCCTAGCACCAAATAATTATTATGAAAAAACTTTTATGAAATGATGTAAAAGCCCCTAAAGCCATGCTTTGAGAATTTTGATTCTAAGTTCAATTGGATCATTACATTGTGCTTAGAAAAATCAAGAAATCAAGAAGCTCCTAGGGCATATGGAAGTGTTCTTTTTTTTTTTTGTACTTTTAAGGTTATCAAGTTATTTACAGTGAAAAAAAAGAGAAAAGACCAAGATGCCCCTTAACAAATGTAAAATTACAAATAAACCCTATGAAATATTATTTTACCTTCTAAGACCAGTTCTATTGATTCTTTTATCAAGGGTAAAATTATCAATTTACTATTATAATCCATAATAAATTTAAGTGTATATACAAAGGTTTTCTACATCTTTTAGTTTCTTGTAATTTACATGAAAATTTTAGCCTATTTTTTTTTCTTGAATTCAAAAAATCTAAAATACCAAGACTAGGAATAAACAAATTCACCACATAGGAAAGTATTTTTTTTAAAGTGTTTTTTATAAAAAAAAATATAAATTATTTTTTGATATTTGGTAGTGTAATAGAAAATAAATTGAAAAATACTTTCTAATGTTTAACTATGTCATGAAAAATAAGCTGAAAAATAACTTATTAATATTTTATTTTTTCAAGTTTATTAAAAGAAT